CACCTTCGTGTTTCCTATAAACAGCCGTTTTAAATTCATAACGATTCTAACTTTTACATCGTTCTAACATCTTTCAATTTTTATTGAAGTTTTTTATCTTAAAACTCTATTGCAATTTGATGTGGAATGTATTTGTTTTTGCAAATTTATGTATTTCACATTTTTGTTTCTCAGTTGAGTTTTTCTACTTTACTAACGTTAGACAGCCTAAAGAGTTGACCGAAACGTTTGAACTGAATTGTAAAGCAAGTCATTATAATTTATTTATAAATTTATGTTAAGTTTTTGCGCGCTACATACCACACTATATTCTAATTTATCTGAATTTTTATAATTTTATGAAGCTTGTTAACTCATTTTAACTAAATATAAGATGATTAGAAGAAAAATATATGTACTAGTAAAAAATTATTTATATTGCTTTTATAGTAAATAAATAATAGAATAAAAAATATATAAAATAAGATTATATTTTAATTAAAAAGCAAATTTGTTTGGAGAAAGAACAGTTTAATGAATAAAAAGTTGTTTAAAGTACAATGACACAGCAATTTCTTGAATTGCTAATTTTACTTATGCTACAATCAATTTTTAGAAATCATACTATTTTATGAAAAGATATCAATCACGACATGTAACTGGTATATCCAGTTTTGCGGATATGATAATCCAGTTTATCCTTTCGTGCAGTAATTATATAACTGTATTTCTAATGGGCGATTGACCCCATACGTTATACATTTTATATGTGTGTATGATTATATTTTTTTAAATATAGTATATGTACGTATTTTAACTAGGAAGGAGTACAACCTACATGATTGACTTTTCTGCTAATTATTAATTTTTATTTTGTCTTATTTACAATATTTTAAGTTGACTTTATTATTTAATTTTAATCTATTTAACATTTATGTTTTAATTTCGAAAGATTAATAAAATTAGGTTTAATAAAATCAAGTGTCCTTGTCTAAAAAAAAAAACGCTATTCGTCTAAAGAATATTTTATAATAAAACAATATAAATATAATAAAATATAATAAAAATTATATTTTTTTCATAATTAAAACAATTTTGTGATTGTTCCTAAGGCCGTTGCAATCTATTCATACTACATAATATACATAAAATGTATTTCCTTTTCGATTCAACGATTTTATGTTGGTTTTTTATTGTTATTAAATAAATCGCGAAATACAGATTATTTATAATAGAATTAGTAGGAAATTAAATAACGGGTAATGTTTTATAATTCAATCATTTTTCATACCTTTCTATTTTATTTTTTCCTATATCAAATATATTGTCAATTTATTACACAAAAAAGTGACTACGGTTGCTACTATCAAAAGTCGTTGTCAATCAATACATTTCTTAGTTATAAGAACTATAATACGATTGTGATAATCGAAAAGGATTGACATATCGTAACGGCTATGGTTGTTAAGATATGTTCATCTTACGGTTGTTAGAAAATCAAAATATATTGATGGGCGAGAATTATTATTTCCGGTTGTGACATCAATTTTTTACAAATAATTTTGAAAAGAATTTTATAAGTTCTCTTTTTTTTATAATGACATATATTTGTATTGATCTCATTTGAAAAATTAAATTTTGAATAAAAATATAAACTTTTTTTAATTTTCATTGCACTTTTAAAAGTATTTATATATTTAGTGTATTCTTTTAACTAACTTCAATAACGTAACTTTTAAAAAATCGAAGGATTTTTTATAAATAGAATTATAATTCTATAAAAAAAAATATATTACATTAATAGGCATAATACTATATATTTTATCATATAAATTTTATAATTACTTCTTTACGAAAAATGATAATATTTAAATGTTATAAAAATATACTATCATTTTATATATATATATATATATATATACTTTTATTTATTTATGAATCAAAGGCTCCTAATATCATCCTTCTTATTTTGATTTCCTTTATATACGATTGAAGAAGCGGCGATTTCCGTAATGAAATAAGTAAGAATGAAAGAAGAAACTTACTGCCACGCGGCTCTCTTTTAGTTCAAGTCTCACAGCCAATCATCATTATTGAATGCAAGCAGTATTCCGAGCCGCAAGGTGACATGAGATGACAAGAAATGCTAACGTAACGTACAATGAATGGACATATGCTGATGACGCATTTCCCTTCGTAATTCACCATGATATATCTAATGCGTTGTGAGTATAGTTTCACGCGCGTATCACAACAGTGAATTTTAGAAATATATAAAAAAAAAGATGAAATAACTTTTATTTTTTCATAACAAAATTTGAAATTGATTCTATATAAAAAATATTGATGCAAATATTAAACATTTATTTATCATAAAATATGTTTGACTAATTTTACCAAAAGGTAATTATTATAGTAAAATATTATTATAGTAAAATAATTACTAAAGGTTATTATTATAGTGTGTTGTAAAATTAAAAAAAATTTTAAATATGTTAAACACACACACAGTTCTAATTTTTTATTGTTTTACTGTAAATATAATAGAAAGATTAGAGAGCGCGCCTCCAATCTAAGTGCGACTATCACTTGTGATTGGTCTGCCATATTTTAACCATTACCGACAGTTTTTCAATTGTATTGATTTCTAATCAAAATTCATAAACAAGACTGCGTTCAAAAATACTATTCAAGTGCCCCCATGTATTATTTTAGCCTCGTTTAACATTTGGATAACAATAAAGATAAAATGATACTCGGAGGTTATTATTTGGATAGTGTTTTCGAACGTTGTCTAAATTATTGGCATTTTATTATTTTAATCAATCGGTATATATTTTTAGATGGTCCATAAATTTTTTAATTATAATAAATATTTAGAGAGTAAATAACTTTACTTCTATAATACAGAATAATTGTTTATTCTATATTATTTATTTTTATAGAATAATTTATAATATAAATTCACTTCAGCAATATTATTTATATTGTACCTAAGCATAGCTGTCACCTGATAAGTGACAGCAATATTGGATTGATAACGTATGATCTATATACCTTTTCCTCACTCGCAGGATTTTGTTAAAACATGTATAACATACCCTTCTTATAACGCCACTTTGATTAGAGATTATTTAAAGTAAATATGTATGTATAAATTAAAATATATAAACAATCTTACATGAATTTTAAAATATTGACATAATATTTAAAATAAACCTAGCATTGTGACTATATACTCCTTTCATTGATTGTTTAAAAAAAAAAAGAGATTATATTCTCTCACTACATCTATGCCGTTGGTTCTGGGGTAAACTGAAAAATTAGTATGTCTACTAATTCAATTAGAGTATTTATATAACTTTGTTAACACACATACATAAGGTACGAGTACATATAATAACGCATGCACGGATATACACATATTTATATAACATGATCGAACAGAACATTTCGTGGTTTTATATGGTCTGCAAATATTAAGAAATATAATTTTGAGATATTTACATTTTTTAAATCTATGAGTGGTTACAATTAAACCTGTAATTCTGTTTTTTTTCCTACATTTTCTACGTACCTATCGATGCTTAAAGACTACTGTGTATAATTTTTATCTAAAATTTTAATAAAATTAATATTAATAATGAAATAGAATTATATTTCGAATTCTGTCGTGAATTATAGATTGTATAAAATGAGCTTATTTTTTGTAACTCGACAAATGTAATATATTAAAAGTGAAATAAAACTTTTGATAACTATCGATCAGAAAAAGATCTCAAAATATCGGTTTAATTAGTTTTGCATTGCTTTTTAAAAGTTTTATTAAGTACGCAATTCTACGTGCTATCTTTGATAATTACATATCGTCATGGAAATAGGACGCTATCGGAACTACAATCACTGCGCTTCCGTCATCACTGTATCACATTCATGTAACTTTCATGTCTCAAAATGTATCAAAATAATATGAATAAGACAAAACTTTAAATTTCATAAAGAACTGTTACGTGTATATTTCAGTATTATGAATAAGATTGAGGAAATTTAGAAAATGGTTAATGTGCAGTGTGAAGGTAAAAAGATATTTGCTAAGATAAGAGTCACAACAATTTGATAAACAAGTAACATCCAATTTTATTCTACTCTTCTGATAACAATGTCTCCAAAAGTATTGTTGAATTAATGAAGTGAAAATCATTCTAGAAAGGTGAAATAATAATGTGAGATCGAATAGACCCAACAACAACCTTTATATGCGTTCTCACCACGTGATTATAACGAAATGTAATTCCACCGTTCTACGAAGGTGCCATGGAACATCGCGCACCTGTACCAACAACATTTCCGTTGTATGTGTGTACACGTAAATAAATACACACATGTACGCTGAGATTACGTATGTTCGTTCCGACTGTCATCGGTATAATTACGTTTGCAAACGGCAAACGCACTCGTGCATGCGACACCAACTCGCACATTCCACAATTCTGTTCTCCCATCGAAGAAGAAAAGATTGTAAAAAATTATACTTTGTAAAATCATATATAAGTAGTCAAATAAGAATAGATAGATGTTAGATAAAATTGATAAATTTAAAGTTTAATGGTGAGCATTTTATTATAAAATTAGGAAAAACTTGCTTTTGTCTACACATAAAAATAATTTGGTTAACACAAGATGTAATTAAAAATATAAGAAAGTTTAAAAATTTAGAAAATTTTAATTAAATAACATTTGAAATTTGTAATAATTTAAATATAGTAAAATCAATTGTTGCACATAAATATTCTATAATTAAATCAACAAATTAAAAATGTGTAAAAGATATTTAAAAAGCATAAAAGTCAAAACATAATATAACATACATGTCTTATATGAATTTTCTATTTTTCACAAAATATAATTTCTGAAATCTGTTTTTTACAAACATTAGTTGGCATTTTTTTTTATATACATTTGTACATATATATGATATTTAATAAGAATATTTGCTCAATTACATCAAATTCGTTACTCACTTTAATGTCACCTTCCTCAATTCTCCGATCGTCGGATTATATTCCCGGTCTTCTCTGCTAATTATTGCCACTCCTTCATCGTTTATTGCATACGCGTTCACTACCAAGTCCATCAAATCCGAGAAATCATCGTGCTTTTTCATCGATGACGACGACATTACCACACTTTTCCTTGATTTTTCAACGATGGGCGTTACGTCGTTATTAGCTTGTTCGCGACTACCGTTACCTCGTTGAAGAAATTTCCGACGGAAATTGTTGTAAACGGTATCAGTCTCTGGCGAATCGCCGATTCGAACTCGAGCATGGCTGGGACTCAAATGATGGCCACTGTAGCCTAAGTCCATCTGTAAATCCATTACTAACAGCAACGTGAACACGATGGCGAGCGCGCTTAAACATAGCACCAACTTGTCACGAATACGGATAAGCCTGACATTTAGTCTCATTTTAGTCTTTTTATTGGGCCTCTTGCTGATTGTTTTATGTATCTTCTCACTCTCCAATATCTTTCGCTCAATTAATGGCAACTGTGAACTATCTGATTGATGATATGTAGAAACGGATGATTTTTGGATCAATCGTTGATTATTTACAACTTTAAGATTATCGACTCTCTTCAATGTATCTATTTTAACGAATGAATTTTTTAAAACTTGTTCAGAATTTTTTATCTTTGTAATTAAATCCTTTGTCTCGTTAAGTGGGTTCTTTAAGATGCTTCTTTTTTCGTGATCTATTTTAGAATGTACTGTTAATGGTAGTTGTAAATTTATAGGATTATCAAATTGATGATTTATAAGAAATAATTCAAAGAAGTTTTGTGAACCTCTTTGAATTAATTGATGATATGAAGTTTCAAAATTATCTATTATCTTCAGGATGAGCGAATTATTAATACCTTCTTTGGTAACTTGATTTATCAAGATTTCTTTAGAATCTTCTATCTCGATAATTCGTTCTTCCAATGTTTTTTCGAACTCTTGCACTTTGTTGATTTGACATTTCAAGTTTTCACCAAAGTCTTTTTTCTTATATATATAGATAGTTAATGAATTTTTCAGGTCCTCCTTGAAATCTTTTTCAAAATTCAAACATTCTGCCACACTTTCAATGAATTCCACGATGGAGTCAACTAATATAACTTTTTCGGAGATGTCTATTAACTGTTCAGAACTAGAACAAGAAAAAATCTTGAAAATCTTAATATGTTCTTCTGATGTTTCCGCGATCGACTGATGTTGCGCATAGTGATTTGGAACCATAAATTTATATTTCACGATCGAATCGTATTTATCAGCTGACCCGCTGTTATCAAATCCCGTTGACTCTTGACCCTGCCAGTTCTCTTCCAATGGAGGTAACAGTTTGACTTTGCAAACACTATTGTTTCTTTTTCGTGCTTTCTTCTTAAATCCCTGAAGAACTTGCTGAATATCCTTCAGAGGACAGCATCTATAAATGATAGATTGATAAAGGATTGAATCATTCCTAATTTGTTCAAGTCTTAAAGAAGGGATGGATGCTGCTTGATCATCAACAATAATTAATAGTTTCCTTTTTAGTAAAAAATTGTTCTGGATAGTTCTTCTTTTTCTTGTTAGTTGAAATAGGACTTCTTTTTCATTAATTAAAGAAATAGATCTTTCATTTCGAAAAAAAGATTCTTCCCACCAAGAAAAATTATTCTGGATAACTTTCTTCGTTAATTGCAATAATATATTTTCTTCAAAAATGTCTTTTCTTTTTTCAGAAAAAAAAATATCTTGCTTAACTGAAAAAATGACTTTTCTAGTAGAACAATAAAGACCCAACAAAAGATTTTCTGAAATATCCTTTTCTATTAATTGTGATTGTGGAATTATAGGAATATCTTTTTCTGTCTTAGCTAAAGAAATAAGATTCTTCAGTAAAGAGTCATCTTGGATAGTTCTTTCTATTAATTGTGATTGTGGATCAAAATTAGAAATATCTTGTTTCTGTGATAAAGAATTTTTTAATATTAACTGTGGAGTTTTTTGAAAATCTTTCTCTATTAAAAATATGATTTCTTCAAAGACACTCTTTGATAGTTTTAAATCCTTATGTATGTTTGTTTTTGTTAATTGCATTAGTAAACCAGTAGAAATATTTCTTTTTTTTAATAACAAATTTCCGTCTACACTTTTATTTATTAAATATGGACTCTTTTCAATATTATTTCTTGGCAGCGATGAATTTTCTTGAATGTATTTGTTTAGAAATAATTTAGTTTCTTTAATACTTTTCGTTGTCAATTGGAAGATTTTATTAGCTATATTTTTCTGGATATCCTTTGGTGACGATAAATTATTCTTAACATCTTTTTCTGTTAATTGTCTTTTACGATGTGTCTTTGTCAACAAATATTTGTTTACATTCTTCTTTGGCAATAGAAAAATTTTATTAACGTCTTTATTGGTCCCCTCTTCCTTCAATAAAGAATCATGATGATTACCTCTTTTCACTAATGTTGTATTTTTCTGATCATATATTTTAATAGGTTTTTTTTCTTCAGTTACTAATTCTTTTTTTTTAATATTTTGTTCCACTAATAATGGACTGTTCTCAATACCTTTTTGCAACAATCGTGGGTTTTTTTGTATATCCTTCGCTAGCACTGGACGCTGACAATTTGTGTTAGCTTGTTTTTGAATATCTTCCTCTAAATTTTTTCTTACATTTTCTTTTTGTAATATTAAACTCTGCTGATTGTTTGTATTGTCCAGTAATACTTTCTTTAGAATATTGTCCCTCAAAGATTCTTCTTGAATATCTTTCTTTACACCTAGATTTCGTTCGGTATTTCTCTTCACCAACAATAGACTTTTAATAGTCCTAAGCAATCTACCGCATTTTTTGTTATTTTTCCTGAACACTTCCTTTAAGAAGCTTTCCGTCCTTTTAAATCTTCCAACATGATTTACTGTTAATTGTTCATCAATCGGTAACTTAAAGGATGCGTCTGTTACTATCTTTCTAAAATTCTTTGATTCCTTGTTATCATTGTTTTCATTTTCAAACTTTCTATTCTTCGATCTACATTCTTCGCATTTTAAATTCAATTTAGATTTAAATGTTTCCTGTGACTTTCTATGATTATGTGTGCTATCTATATATATCGGGCGGTCGGCAGTTGTTGTCGCGTTGCTGCAACTTGCACTTACGAAACATCTCCCGTCGGCCAGAGCTCAGAATATTCACAAAGAAAACCCAATGTTACAATGCGCCGGTGTTTTGCAAGTACAAATTTTTTAAACTGATCACTCGAGGCACTTTTTCCGTGCTTTAAACACTTACAAAAATATGCCAAAGGAATATATCAGATAAATAATTAAATGGTCAATTAAAAGATGAACTGACTTTTAAGAAAAAGTACGTAGCACCGCGACACTCTGCGTTCTCACCGTCGCATCACCTGAAACAAAAAAAGAATATATTATTACTATATGAAAATATTAATATGTAATTTAACAAAAAGTCAAAGAAAAAAATTATTTCTTGTAATATATTTACAACTTTCAAATTGAAAAATACTATATCACATTAGTTTTGAAAAATTTATTGAAATTATAAATTTTTAACTAAAATAAAACTTTTCCACACATACATATCATAGTTACAGTATGATAAGTATTGTACTAAAATATAAAAGAGACCTTTCTTACAACTTCATTCTTAAATTCCTTGAAATGTGTTGTAAAGAAAATACTTTAAAAGTCATAATCTTTCTAATTATGTAACATAGGAAAAAATATTTTAAATAAATATTATCACTAAATAAATATTAACAAATATAAAGGATAAAAAAAACTGTGAATATTTAAATTACTATTTCATTAAAAAGTTTAGAATTGTATTTTTTGCTTTTTTTTCGAACGATCAAGATAATATTCTGTTTGCTGCTCAAAAAGTTTCAACAGCAGCGCTGTTTGAAAAGCTTGTTGCGTTCCGCCGCCCACATCGCTCTTTTTTGTCATCACATTCAAACGATCCATATTAACTTTCATTAATTCTAAGTAAAACCTACATCACAACTAATATCAACATAAAAATCGGTTGTACGATTACTTTTAAAAACACGACGGTGGCCGTTAGCCGCTCGTGTACACTGCACCCATTGCATCTCGCATTGAAACGGCTCTGCTTAACATTATAAAATTAGATTATAAAATTAGTAAAAGATTTTTCTTTTTATTATCTTTGATAATTTTAAATAGAATATCTTGTAAAACTTTATGTAAAGCACTCTGTATATCATTTTAACTCAAAATTTATAAAAAAAAAAAAAAGAAGATGATTTAGCTAAAATTCTATCTTATGATAGTATGTGTGTGCGGGTGCGCGCACACGCGCGGGTGTGTGTGCATGTTAATGCATTGCATTGCGATACATCGTCGTGATGTATTATATGATGCATGTAATTCAAGCCGATAATGAGACTAGCCAGCGTTATTTTTACGACGCGACGGCACGTAACAGCATTCGCCGCTTTTGTATCATTCTATCATTACTATCATATACGTTGTACACGTGCCATTTTGATACTTATATCGTGTTATAATATAAATATAACACACAAACTCAAATAAATGTATAAATATAATAGTATAATGTGACGTAACCGTCGTAACCACTAACTCGTTTTACTCTTGCGGCAATCACATGTTTCTTTCATTTATTTAGAATGATAAGCAACTAAGATATATGTATGTACAATCATATAATTTAATTAAATCATGTCTACACACACACACACACACACCACACACACACACACACACACACACACACACACACACACACA